GCCAAGTGTAAACCAGAACAGAACAGAATAGAGCAGAGCAGAGCGAAGCAAACAAGCTAAAAAAAAAACATGCTGCTGCTGCTCCTCCACGGCATTGCCAAAGTCAAACAATGTTGGGCGTCTTACTATTTTTTTTTTGTTATCCCCGTGTTCCATCTCGCACAAGCTCTGTCTGTGTTTATCTTGACAGCGCCACGCCCCCTAAAAAGGGATGGCAACAAGGTGAAGCATAAACTATGAACGTCAAATAAAACGCACGCCGGATAAGGCGCGCAGCAATTAAATGTATGAAATATGGCCATTGGCAACACACAAAGTCAAAAATCCGCAAGCTGCCAGCTAAGAACACAAACCTATATCTTTAACTTTAAACAAGATGCTTGCACTCTACTCAGAGCAACAACAACAACTATGTCCAACTGGGGAGAGTTTTGCTGACAGAAATATTTGTTCAAGTGGCAAGAGAAAATGCCTGCGTCCAAAATGCTGGCAAAACAAATGGCCAGCAAGGATTATGACAGCATTTCGGTTGATTTTCAAATGAAATTTTAATGAATGAAAACAGCCAGAAAACTTTAGCTGCACACAAACACAGACAAACAATCAGTCGAGAAATAAATAAGACAAACCAAAAATGCGGCACTTGTCGTGCGTCAACAAACTCTTGGAGAAATCTTGCAAAGGCCGCGCCCGAACTGCGCCCGAGCTGCGCTGCCCTCAAAGCCGATCCGAGCTGCTCAAAACTGTCTGCCAAGTGCTGCAGCAGCAACAACAACTAAATAACCACAAAAAGCAGCTGGTTTTGCACTAAGAGCTGCGCACAGTATGCTGTTCAGATTTGCGCTTAAATATTTATCAACTTCGAACAGCAGCCACGACGAGCGGCAGAGTTTGAACACAAATATGAAGACAAGCTTTTAAATACTCTACCAAAATACTCTTTAAAATCTTAAATGCCACTTAGATGTGTTTAGCTAGTCAAACTATAGGCGATTGTTGTTTACATGTTTACCTAAGCTGGCTTTTGATTTTAATACAAAGAGAAAATCATACACAATATTTGTTCTACCTACATTTTCTTGAATTGAATCTTAATACTGAGGGAAATCGTTTGAGCCAATTAATAATTGTAAGAGGAAAACTGAAATATACTAGGTACACAGTTTGGAACAAAGACAAGCTTAATAAGTAAGTGGTTATATCAAGTATCTCCCGTTTCTATCATTAGCATACTTTGCTAGCGAGTCTTAATTTGCCAGCCCTTGTTGCCAGTCCGAAGCTTTAACCACTTGAGAATTATAAGTAACGGACAGAAGACAAAGCTAGCACAAAAATCTTTTATTATAAGCCTAATAGGGAAAGAACTCTGAACTGAACTTAAAAAGGTAGTTAATTAGAAATGCAACTAAACCAATGTAAATAAATGAATAACACAGAAAATCAATAAATAAGAACAAGAGTGCCCTAATCGGGAGTGACCGACTGGGGTATACACTGAACTTGGCAAAATCTATTAAATGAAAGATGCTTGATTTGTAAATACTATTCTAGAAGCTACATGTCAAATTTGAGGACTCTAGATCCTAAAATCTAAGAGGTTTGCTCAAAAGCATGATTTCGATATCGATTTTTATCGATTGCTTGCTTAACGAGGCAGGTTATCGATTATCGGAAACAAACTCGTACTGCGCGGCCACTAGTTATAGCTTTTACAAGTTCTGAGATCAACGCGTTCATACAGACGGACGGACAGATGAATGGACGGATTTGGGTAGATCGACTCGTCTGATGCTGATCAAGAATATATGTACTTTATGGAGTCGGAGATGCTTTTTTCTGCCTGTTACATACACAAATATTTTCCTTTTTTACCCATTCTCAATGGGTGCAGGGATCTAATATTTAAATAAGGGGAGTTTTTCTAAAATATATTTGAACATTCCAACAAACGTTCTTTACGAGATGTCCGAGATATAGAGTCCCAAGCCTCCAGAAATATTAATTATATAGCTAATGGCATTTACGAGTTTTCATCCTGTCCAGCTGCTCCCTGAGCATTATCTCCACCAAAGCGTGACATAGCATACAAAAAACTCAAAGTACCCACAGCAAGTGTATTGCAAAATGTTCGAATTTAAGCATTATTTGTATTTTATTAGTTATTCGAGAGTCGGAGAGCGGCAGCAATAAAATGGAACAAATGAAACAACAGGAAGGACAGCGGAAAATGCAGGCATATAATAATTATTTACACGCCGCAAAATTCAGCAAATTAGTTGATGCAAACATCCTTCTGATAAAAATGCCCACTGCGTGTTGCCTGATTAATTGACATGGTGGCACGGACAGCGGACAGTGGCGGGGGGCAAAGGGCATGCTACGGGGTTGCACAATGGCATGATGACTTTAATTAAATTTTCTTAGCCGGCAACAATCCTTTTATGGCGCCATTTTGCAGGCAGACGACTTACAAGCTGACGTGTGTGTGTTGGTGTGCGTGAGTGTGTGTCTTAGTGTGTGTGTCGGTGTGCGTATGTTGGTGTGCGTGTGTTGGTGTGCGTGTGTTGGTGTGTGTGTGTTGGTGTGTGTGTGTTGGTGTGTGTGTGTCTGTGCTAATGAAAATCAAACGTTGCAGCGCGTTCAACTGTCTCAGCGGCTAAGCAAAATGAATGGGAGCAGACTCTGCTGCTGCGACCTCCAAGCGGCAGCATCTTGTGATTTATTATTAAACACGAATATGAATTTCTCAGAGCAGCGGGTGCTAGGCATTAAACAACAACAATAACAAGGACAACAACAACAACAACAACCAGAACAAAGGGCATACACAATACGCGCTGAATCCTGGCTCGGAACCTGTGGCATTTTGATGCGCATTTTTATGATTAATTAAAATTTATGTGTGGCAGGCAGCAGCGGCACCCATAACAATAATTATATTTGCCTATGTGGCGACCTATGTTTGGCAGCGACCAATTAAGTGCGAGCCAAAGATTGAGTGCTGTCAGGCCCACAGCTAATTGTGGCAACAAACTATGCCCTTAACTCTGCGCAGAGCAAAAAAGAAAAAAAAAACAAAATATGAAAGAAACAGCGAGCGCAACGCATTTTATATTTATTAAAGCAATAAAATAAAGTACAGCCACGCCCACTGCGCTACGCCTGCAACAGTTTGCCCAGATAACGTGTCCTGGCAGCAACAGCAGCAGCAGAGAAATATCGCCATGTCATAGCCGTCATGCAGGTCGCTCCCAAAGGACTCAACTCACGTTACATAAATTAAGCTGTGTGTGCGAGTGTGTGTGTGTGTGTGTGTGTGTAAATTGGTGTTGTTGTTGGCAACATTTTGGACTATGCCTACGCCTTGTGTTAACTGCTTGCCCTCGGCTAGTCCCTGCGCATGGATTTGGGGGCATATGTAACAAGGACGTCGCAATAAATTTAAAATTAACCCTTTTAGTTGACCTTAGCCCCACACACAATACGGCTGCTGGTCCAATCTATTTAAGCCACGCGCCACGAGAACCTCAAATAGTTGTCAACTAGTTCAGACAGACGGGAAAATTTCATTTCATTTGCATGTGGCAGGCATCTATTCAAATGTCAAGTTATCTATTTTGTGTAGCATACATTTGGGCGCCACGTCAAACGTGAAAAGAATGTGCCTGAGCCGAGGGAAATGACAAATGCTTGCGCTTGACTTGGCCGCGTTATGCAAATCCTATTTATTATGTTAAACATTCATAACGATAAACAATAAACGGATTATTATTGACAAATTATAATATATAAGCCTGGACATGGGGCAAACAGTCCAAGTATGTTAAAAGACCTTTCGCCTATGCCAAATTCTAAAGAAACACTTTCTCCTCCTGCTAAATCATGCTTATCGCGAATATATATATGTGTGTGCCTTAACTATATTTACAAGTTTAATACACCCTTAATCAACTATTCATATAAAAATAGGGTATAAAATAGCCGCAAGGTTAAAGCAAACAGTCAGAGAAATGAATTTTTATATATAAAACAGCAACAAAATAAATAAAATGTGCAGCTGCAATCGGCAATTGTCTGATTGTTTGTGAAAAACAAACATGGTTAAGCATTTAATTTATATTTATTTAGCTTTTAAGTCGTCACTTTAAGAGTTAAGCCCAGCTGCATTAAAGTTAATTAAGTAAAGTGTTGATATAATTAATTTAATAAAAATATGAATGCTTTTCGACTTCATTTAAATTAAATGGGCTGCCACTCATTGTCCCAAGATGACGTGGCCAAAATAAATGCCATTGAAAGCCAGCTTGGGCCAGAACTAAGTAATCATGGCTCGAACAAAGACAACAACAAAAATAGGAAAATGCCAATACACACACACACACACACACACACACACACGCATACAGGCAGTAACACAACCACAATGGCATGCTGGCCGAAATGCTGTTGCGAGAGGCGGCAATTGGCAAGCCGAGTCGGTAAGCGGCAGTGGAGGGGAGGGGCAGGGCGCGGGGCATATGGCAATGGACACAAAGTTCAAGTGGCCAAGTCAAGACAATTCGAAAAATGCTTTTAAAAGGAAATCAGTAAAGGAATTTCGCTTATGGCCAACTGATTGTGCCAATGGCAGCAGAGTGAGCGGCAGCGCAATTTGAGCCAAGGACTGCGACTGCGACTTAGACGCAAGTCAGACAGAGAAAGCGAAAGCGTGAGAGTGAGATAGAGATAGAGAGAGTGAGAGAGGGGCAGAGAGTTGTAGCTAAAAGCTGGATGCTTGGAAAATTGAATTGTTTTAGATTTTGTTCCCATTTTCCGGCGTTTTCGCTTTCGCTGCGCCAAACAAATAAATCAAATTGGATTTTCTTCTGCACTTAATTTCGTCTAGGAAATTGCACAAAATGGCAAAAACTCAATAAAAGAAAATCGTAATCAAAAGCAGCCGAATACAATCAAAAGCTTAGGCACAACTAAGTAGGCTGTTGACTGGATTCAACACGCTCACATTTGCCAACCGAAATTATTTTTGATTAACAATTTGTTTCACGTCAAGAATTTAACGATTTTCAATGTCTTTTCCAAATTTGCTGCAAGGCGTCAATCAAGGCATCGGGGATATAGCTTGGCGACAAAGCCTTAACGGCGTCGTCCAGCATATGGAAAATCTGAAGAGCTGCTGTTTCTTCTTCGATTTGAAATTGGGCTGCAAGCTAATTGCCCTGTTCGAAGCTCTCTCCGGTCTATGGCAGATATATCATGGCTACAAGGAACTATATGTCCACAAGGATCGTCTATTAGCGCCCGAGTGGATTGATACGAAAGTAGCTCAGCACAGTGCACAGTTCAAGTTTTTCCTGGCCCTCGTTGGGTTTTTCAGCGCCCAACTACTTTTGGCGGGCGTCATCTTTGTGAGTATTAAATAGCCAAATACTCTTTCTAAATAGGCTCTAATGTTTACACTGTCTGTAGGAGCGCAAGATGTGCGTCTTGCTTTGGATTTATGTGACAGCCTTGTGCACACTGATTTGCATGTTTTACACACTGGTCATCGACTGCATACCCGAGCTTTTGCTATTCGATGTATTTTCAGCAGGTTAGTCAAACTACACACAATACCCTTTCCGAACCCATTTACACCTTAGTATGGCGCTTGAGTTTCAGAAAAGCTTCTTAATTTTTTTGCATAGCTCAAAACAACGTATATTTAGATGAGTTGTCTATCATTTGAAAAATGCAAAGGTCTTGTAAAAGCCTTTACTAATGCGACTATTTAAATTGTTTTACAACACTGCCTAGCAGAAAATGGCAACGTTTCACAACACTATGCGCAAACTAACAGGCAAACACAACGCTGAATAACACAATTCCACATAAAAATGAGATAACGTACGAGCCATGTATCATTTCGCCACTAAATGTAATATATTTCAGGTCTTGAGGCATATTTCATTGTGACTGCCCTGGCATACTATATGCAGATGCGACGAGTCGAACACACAGACGACGATTTCGAAGTGCTCTTTACGGCTAGCGAGGTATAGAGAGCACAGTTTACATAATAATTGTATAGTTTGCATTTTAATAAGACAAATAAATTGAATAAAAAAGATTCATTGATGCAGTTTCTCAAGCATTTCTTACTACGCTAGCGTTCAAGATATGTAAAAACTAATTAGGCTAAAGCTTGTATATATATGTAAATGTTTATTTGTACTATCATGCCATAATTCCGACCACTACAACCAATTTTTGAGCTATTTAAATTATTATTGTGATTTTAAGTTTTTTGCTCTAATATGTACAAATGCAATGTCATTGTTTTAATAAATTGTACTAGTTAAACATGCTGTTGTGATTATTGTATTTCAAATATTATTTCGCATTTAATTGTATTCGATTACAACAATGAAAACTCACGGAAATTGGAAATCGTTATCAAAATGTGAACAATTGCATTTTTGCTAATCTTTTTATTACTCAAAAATTGATTGCACTGGCAAATTTAGACAGAAAATGAAAATAATAAATAAAACTGAATGAAAATATGTTTAAATTGTATCTTCGCTGTGACGAAGCTTGAATACTCTTTCCAAAAACTGTTTATCATTTAAATCAAATTTTATTAAACTGTCAATGGAATTATGTAAATAAGATTTTAGAAGCCTCTTTAAGAAATATATTTAAAAATTTGGAAAAAATTGTTTGTTTTTTTGAGTGTAGCCCTGTGGAAGGAGCATATATTGCATAGAAATGAAGCAAATGTAAACCAATTGATAATTGCATCTAGATATACGAATTTCTTACTTTTGCGTACGATTTTTTTGGAGGCTCTCGCGTGGCTGTTGCCGTGGGCGTGCCGCGTTTATTAGTGCGATTCTTTTTGAGTACGATAACGCGCATGATGCACTGTTTGTTTTTAGTTTAGTTTAGTAGCTACTGCTGGTTGTGGATGTGTGGACAAGATTCGATGGGAATTAGTTCGTTAGCACGACGTGTAACAACAACAATTATTATTATTATTATTATCAAATTTGCAATGTTCGTATGCGAGTCCGTCAAATGATTTGCCGTTTATGAACGGAGTTGCACATTCGTTAGACACGTAATATGATAAATGCAATGCGAGCCTTTTATTAGTAGTTGCTTGTTTTTTTTTTTTTACATATTATAATTAAGTTAACTACTTTCTATAGATTATAGCAAAGTGGATTAGTTTGGTATTTACAGTTGAGTGGCGAGAGCAAGTAGTAGCATTGTTTGGTTTCAATTTCTATTTATAGTTGAGTAGGTGGCACTAGGATATGTATTTAGTAGGTGGGCTGGGTGAAAGTGTGTTCGAGATAAATGTATTTCTATATAGCTATTGCTATTGCTATTTGCTGCTAAGAATTTTGTACAAGCTTGTGTGTGTGTGTGTGTGTGTGTGTGTGTGGGTGTTTGCTTATTCTCGTCTCGACTTGTGTTAACTATTTTTAGTATGCACTAATTACGAAATTACTGAAAAGCAAGCAAAACGTATCGAAGAAAACTGACAGAGTGTGCTACACAGTAAATTATTATGATTGTATAAATTAATTAAATTCTTAAATTCATTTCATATTGCATTTTGATTTGCATAGACGCAGCAAATACGTTTTGGCGCACGGTGCGTATGCGTGTTATTTGTTAAATTTAGTTTCTTAAAGAAAGCTTAGAAATTCTTATTTTACAATATGCTGCCTACGCGTAGTTATTTAATTTTTGTTATCGTTTTTGTTGTTGTTGATCAACGACATTTGTTATGCTTTACTTACGGTCAAGTCAAGATTTATATAGAGTTTTTGTTTTCTTTTAGTTTTGAGTTAGATTTTGAGTAAACGCCTCAAGGGAAGTGAACACAAAAGCCTGCCTGTCCTGCGCTCTAAAATGTATATTGTCTGTGGTCTGAGGATAACAAGGTTTGTTGTTGTTATTATTTTGGTTGTTGTTGTTGTTGGGACAACGCCTTAGACTAAAACAAATGCCAGCGCATTTCTCATGGGTAATTCGCAGACGTGTGCCCGAGTTGTATTTTTTTGGCCAGCCAATCAAAGGCCAATTCTCAGACGCGACGCTTTCGATTTGTCGTACGGATGCGGATGCGGATCACTCAGCAGCTAGTGGCAGCAACAACAAGCGTGTGGCGCGACGCGCGTTATCAGCAACGTTCAGATGCAGGCACGTGACTGACTTGCTGCGAGGCTTGCACGTTGCTTTTATAAACAGCATACGAGGCAGCAGCAGCAGCAGAGGCAGCGCGACGACAACGACAACGATCTGGCAACGCTGCGCATGCACATGTTCTACGAAGGCGCGCTCTCACTCTCTTACTACTCCCACTCTCTCGCTCTCTCGTGGGGTTTGCCGAATCGAACAGCTGTTTTTGAATGGACCTCAAGTTGTACGCCTTGCGCTTCTGCCAGCAACAACAAACATACAAACAATTCGCCCGCCTGCCTTAGCTTAGGGTTAACATGAACAGTGGCACCCAAAAAAATGCTCACACACACACATACACACACTGGGTATATCTTGTAGTTGTAGACCAAAACAAGTCAAGCACGTGCGGTTGACATCGTTTATTGTCGTTTAGTTCGTATTTAAGTTTTGTGGTGCTCGTCACAGGCCGTCGTCACACACACTGACTAAACGCTAGCTCCTCTACCGCAGAACTAAACGAAGGACGAACACTTCCGGAGTTATGCTCCGTGCAGCATTTAGGGAATTTGAACATATTTTGGGCACATGCGCAGTGAACCGGGGTTCCAACTAAACTGAATGTCAAAACTAACACAGCTGTTTGACCTACATACCGAGTGCATGTGTACTTTAAAGTATGCACGCACTTGTATTCAGCACTGTTAGCTGTTGAGAGAAACTAAGGCACACTCCAGAAACAAAATCTTTTAAAAAACCAATAAGGATTTGACAGTTGTAATAAATATTTAACAGCTGTAAAAGCTCTTCCGCATCAACAGGTGCTAAGACCAAAAAGCTGCCACAAAAAGCTGCACTGCAAGTTCAACACATTTGCCAAGCTTTACGCTTGGGTTTGTGTATCGGCTAATTTCAGTTTATTCACCATACATAAAACTCACCTGTGCACGTATGGCAGCGAGGTGTATTTGCTTGGCGCGCAAATCAAATTTCTTCATGGACAAATCCTCCTGCAGCTCGTTAACCTTGTTGTACAGTTGACCCTCAATGCCGCGTGTTTGTGTGCGATTCAGTGCATCAATGGAGTCCTGCACACACACACACATAAAAATTTATACACATATAAATAAACTGAAGAAACATATGTATGTGGCGTAGACTTGTAGCACACACCTGCAGCTGACGTATTTGCAATTCCAATTCAATTGCCTCACGCTTAAGCGACTCCAGTGCGGAGCGCTGCGACAGCGTCGAGTGCCGGTCAAAGACGAGCTCGTTGCGCAAAATGGGTGTCATCTCCTGTGTAAGAGTCGTGTGTCAGTGTATAACGATAATGTATAATTTGTGTGTGTGTGTGTGTGTGTGTGTATGTGTGTGCTTACTTTATAGTCACCCGTCTCCTCGACCAGCTCGCCCGGCTGCTGTGCTTGTGGTGGGGCGAAGACGCGTTTGGGCACCTTCTGTGCCTGCGATGGCTGCGCCAGCAAACGCACAAAATTCACCAGATCCTGTTGCGGTGACACGGCGCTACACTGGCTGGCCAGGCAGCCGTAGCGCTTCGCCTGCTCCGCGGCCTATGTGTGTATATATATGGAAATAAAAACAAACAGCATTTAATAGTCATGAGCATTTGCTGGCGCAAGTGTTTGATGTCCGCGCGCGCACGCACCGAACATTATATAAATTACCTGCGCAATTTGCGCACCTCGCAATTATGAGCAATTATTATAATGGTGATGATGAAATTGTATTTGAGGACGAGTGCTAATTGTAACTCAGATTCCAGTCATGGAAAATGTGTGAGGTTTTTGCAACAACCACCTGCTGCACACAACCATTGCCATTGCAATATGCACTGCAGTGGCAACAAATTGCTGCACGTAGCCATAAATCGAGATAATGCGACTCACCTTGCTGGCAATTACATCGGCGCCCTGCAGCAGCGAATCGGAAACAATGTTGCATAGGTCGTTGTGTATCTCCTCCAGTTCCTGCATCAATTGTGGCAATGTGTCGCCGTGATAGGCCTCCAGCATGCCATTGGTGGCATGCAACTGCTGCACGTACGCATTGTGCGCATCAATATATTCGGTGAGCGAGTGCTGGCTGGGATTCTGGCGATGTGCCATGTGGCATTGCTTGTAGTCCAGGCGACACTGCAATACACAGCAAAACCAAATGAAAACCAACGGAAAACAATAAAGAAATGTACAATTATCAAGGGGCATGCGACAGCATTGCGTATGCGTAATGCATATATATATATATATATATGACTGTGTCGTGTACGTGCGGCTTAAAGTCCTTTTCTGTTCTTTCATGCACGACTGTAGCCACACGCTGAGCCGCTTAATAAGCCAACTGCCAGGCAACATTAAGTGCAGCTCATTAATAACAAGCGCTTGACATGCCACTTAATTATGTTGCAAGTTGTTGTTGCTGTTGCTGTTGCTGTTGCTGCTGCATGTTTATAACGCACCTTTGACAGCTTCTCTTCAGTCTTTGCGATTATAGTCTCAAAAGACTCCCTGTGTGTAAAGATTTTGCGACTTTGAACTTTGCGATGAAAGGATTTATCCAGCATTGGCCGTGACACCTGCGAACATACAAAATGAAAAGAAACCAGCATGAAATAAATGCATATTTTTATTTACGTTAATTAACTTTCCACCTACAAGCGCTTGGCGCCTTCTTTAAGCCGCATATCATGAAGTCTTTCCATATGTTTCGACGCATGGAGTTTTTTTTTTCTTTTTTTGTTTATGCAAATCATCATGCAAAATGCAAATGAAAACAAACAAAATACAGCACATAAAAAATATAACAAGAAACATAATAAAAACAAATAAAGCGCGACTCGCAGATATCCCTTGAGGTATGAATAAAAAACAAAACAAAAAGCGGACATAATTCAAGCGCTTATTGAGCTCATTTGGCAAAAAGCAGTCAGATATTGTTATGAACATAATTAAGCAGTTGTTGTTGCTGCGTTTAAGCATACCTAGGCTTGAGAGCCTAACTCTTTCAAGATATACTATTACTATATTACTATATAGCTAAACGGAAAGGAAGACGGACTAGCATGGTTAGCTTGAGTACTTCGGATGTCGACTTATTAAGTCTTTTGTCTATATATTAGGGGCAACTGCTAACTGTGATACACAACATAGCCTTTGATTAAAATGTTGATAGGCGTTCAAATTAAAAAGAATTACATTATGCGCCGCTTGAATTACACACGCGAATTCCCAGGGCACACTCAAACACACACACACACATGCACTCAGCGCACATTAAGCATAATTAGTCAGTGTCTGACTGTGTGTGTGCGTGTGTGTGGGTGTGTGTTTAATGGCGATTGATTTAAGGATGGCCATTATTCAATTAACGCACAATCTATTTTTGCTGCTGCGGTTAGCTCTGTACGAGTGTAATGTTTAACGAGGTCAACACAACTTATCCATTTAACTGTCAACGCGAGGCAAACACACACACACGCACACGCACACAGATGGGCTGAAAATTGTCTCACCTGGCGGGAGAGCACACTGGCCACATCGTTGCAGGCCTGCGAGTCGGTTTCCGCTTCCTGCAGGAATGTTTCCCATGCCTGAAAAATGGCCAGATGGCAACCGGGTCTGTGAACATAAGCAGCGAACAACAAAAAATTGTAAATCGTTAAGTGGTCCATTGAAAATGGGATATCCAGTTGCAGCGCGTACCTTTCCTTGCGCAGCTCGGCATTCTTTTTGCGATAATTGGACACTAAAGTTTGAAGGGCAGTTGCATGTTCCTCATACAATTGGGAGAGTGATTCGTTGAAATCGGATACTGCAATTAAATCAAATATATGTATATATAAATAACTGTATTACAGGCACATGCACAAATGTAAACCAACAATATGAAAAGTTTGTTTCGCTGCCCACGCACGATCCGTGCACGCTACAACATGTTCTTGCAGTGACTATCGATAAATCGATAACTTGCGTACATAATTTGTGGTATTTAAATACCGCCTGTATCGATATTTGAATTTGAAGGCTGCCAGATCGCCAATTAGATAGTCAATAATGCCATATTTTATAATTTATGCATTTATCAGTGTATTGCCTGCACAAAAACGAACCATGCAAATATCGTAAAATAAATAATTCAATTTAATTTACATCGATAGTATTCGCTTGAAGTGAGGGGCACAGGAAACGAGCTGACAAGCGAGCTAACCTTAAAAACGTTTGCAAATTCGAAGCAGCACTCAATTTGCATTGAATCAAAGCCAGAGTAAAATTGTGTATTTTATTTAGGAGTCTTCTTTTTTTTCGTTTTTGCGTAAACCAGCCCACAAACCCATTACACACCGGCCAGGACTAGCCCGAAGTCACTATGCGCATACATAATGTGGGTTGGGCTGTTCGTTTTTGCCTTAAATTTCGTTAGAAATTCTATAAAATGTTCCCTCACAAATAAACGAAAGTTAGAACTCAGTTGTTAATCCGTTTTTTCAGACAATTATTATAATGGAATTGGTAAAATGCAACATTTTGCGACCATGCAGCATCATCCGATAAGATTTAAGCTGAGCCGAGTTAAATTCAAATCTTTGTATAAAGAGCATCAAAAAGAAATTTTAGCATTTAGCAAAAGTGCAGCAACAAAATGTTTCGATTGTAGCAGCAAAGTGCATTAGTGTCGACTACCAGAAGCTCTGCTCAAGGCTTTTGCCCAGCTTCGGGAGAAAATGCTCACATATTTTGAGTGCCAGCTGAATGTTTAAGCTGCAATAAGCCAAGGATTTAACTGATTTTTAGTAGTCCAGGTATTTCATCAACACAATGTGCGCGCTGCCCTTCGCATGCCGTACGCTGCGTATACTTAATGCGAAAAAGGCTGCTCGTAAAAGCATGAATAGCTGCGTCATATGAGAAAACTGTCTGTCATCGCTGTAATCCATCACATTTACGACTATTTAAATATATGTTTATATATGTAGCCGGGGGCTGGCTTTTAACTTTTAGCCGACCCGCCGTTACACCGGCCCGGTTAATGTGCCATAAACATTTTTTTTATTGACATGCGGCAACAAGTAGCCGCATTATAGCAGCTGCATTTGATCAAAACCTGAGCAATTTTTAAGCCTATTTGACTGACGTCGGCAAAGGAAATTTCTAGCAACGAAATCGAGTATTTCCCGGAAATGGCAGCAATCAACTTCTGGATATCGATACCTGCAGCTGCAGCTGCAGCTGCTCCACTGATTCTTTGGCCAAAGGCAAATCATGTATTGGCCTTTGCCCTGTACAAAGAAATGTTATTAAAAAGTTTTCCCCCAACTCGCTGGGAGAGTTGAAATTACAAACGGGTGGCCCAAATGCAATTTCTGCTCAGTTTGTGTTTGTTGCTTTTGGCAGGCTGTGTGTAACTTTTAGTGACACAAGTCAAAGTTATGCTCGTGCTTTGAAATGTTGTGCGTCCTGGCAGATGCGACAAATAACGCAAGCAAGTGTAAACAAATCTATAGCGCCTGACTGCGAGATACCCTGTAAGTTATAAACTAAATATCTTAACATCAATTTCTACTTTTCTCTGAACAAACTCAATTGTTCATATGTGTCGATATCATTACGCTCGATAATATCATGAGCCGTGCAATAGACCGTAAGTAATAGACAGTGTTACCAGCTGTCATTTTAAAAAAGCAGCTAAATGCAATGTTAATAACAGCTAAATAAGCTTTTTGAGCATATAAAAAAGCTAAAGCAGTTAAAAATGCTTGTTTCCGGCTGACGTTTATTGGAAATATTGTCATTTAGCTAGAAACCCGCTAAATAGTCATCTCTTGTAAACACTTGTCTCGATCTGAAGTATAAGTTCATTACAAATTGTCCACAAAATTTGTATATATCTCTTCTTTACTGCATTTACGCTCTGTGAATTTTCATTTCAATTAAAGTTTTGAGTTTTGTTTTTCATGTGCAGCACTTATTATTTATGGATTTGTGTTTTGATCTGCTTATAGAAAACTTTGTTTGTAATCAACTTTCGTACCACACAGCTTAAGTTTCTGTTATGGCAAAAAAGTTGCCTAAGTCTCGAATAAATTTTTAAAAATAAACGTCATATATTTTTACAATTTATTTGCTGTTGCTGCCCGCTGTTTGCAATTGTTTTCGTCGTTTTTTTTTTCTTTTATTATTTTGTTCTGCGTAAGAGAATAAAGCGTAAGAATCGCGTAAATATGGTTATTCATGGGAATGCGACAGACAACAAAAATATTTCATTAATTTTTCTTTTTTGCACTGCATTTTATTTCCAAGAAAAAAGGGAGCTGTGAATGCAAGGAAGTGTATTATATTTCTTCTTTCTGTTGCTTTCTGTGAATTATGGCACCCATTTGCTTAATCACAGGGTATTAAAAATTGACAACATGCCCGAAGGGTCAGAATGCAGCATGTGTGCTAAAGTTGAAATAAAAATATAGAAACTTTCAAAGAAGAAGGTCCAAATAGTTGGGGGACTTAAGCTGTAAAGCTGACATATCGCCATGGCAGCCAGATGTTCAGTTGCGTTATTTATGTAGAGTGCGGACTTGGAAACGTGTCCACATCAATTGAATAGATTTATGGCGAACAATCTCAAGGTATCTGAGCATGCGGCAAAACAAAGAAGCGCTGCGATTCAAATCAATAAGCCATAAAGCGAGGCCATATAAAAGAGACAAAAAAAAGCAGCCAAAACAATCGAGAAACTTATCAAATAAAACACAATACCCGCCCACATACAAGCAGACACTCCCAATCACACGCCCACTCCCCCACATTATATAAATTGTTTACTCGAGCACGAAAATCGACAACACAAATTTCCCGATAAACTCAACTGCTCGCTTTATCCGCAACTTATGCTGATGTCAATAGATTTATGTAGTTTATGCGACACTCACCTGTTTTAATTAACTTAAAGTTGACATTGTTTTGGGATTTGAAAGCCTCGTTCAAGCTGCTGTGACTGTAATCCTTGAGCACACCCTGATAGGACGCCATGCTGCCCTGGGGGCTAAGGGAACCACCGCGTGGTCCCCTCCACCCGAAAAACTTACGATTTTTTGGACCACTTGAAGATTTTGCCAAAGAATCTGCGCATGAATATAAAACACATTTATTAAACATTTATTACAAAACAAAACAAAATCAACTTTATAATTAATTCAAAACAAGCAAACGAAAAATGTAAATGAATTAAATTGAAATTAAACAAAATGTAAATCAACAATTAAAATAAACGCAAAACGCAAAATGCAAACAAACCAAACCGAAAATGTATGCAAACAAAATTAATTTCATATCAATTTAATCGAATCTCAACCGAAATCGAATCGGCATACGAAAAAGCTGTCGAAAAAATAAGTAAATAACTCAAATGAAACAGTTGCCCGTCTGGGGTAAACGTTCGGTTTCGGTGCCCCGCCCAGTCCTGCGCCCACCTCTAATAATTCCGGGCATCTCACAAATTCTTTTCGTTTGCCTTTTTTTTTATTTTTTTGTTACCTCAGTGTTAAATACGGCCATGTATTCAACTGACGTGCCAGACAAGCTGTCCACGAGGGGGCCTGAAGGTGTCGAGGGGTGGGGGGTCGCGCGCAATCAAACAAATCGCTGCCGCTCATATTTATGCATAAATAATGAGTCGGAGGTGGGCTTTGGTTTGCTTGGCCCTGGTTTGGCTGGCATTCCCCGTGTATGTTCAGTTAGGCAAACGGAAATTTCAAGTGCTTGGGCGCCCATTACAAAAGTCAACAAAACAGAACCGAACAGAGCCTGGGAGAACAGAGTCGGGCTAGAAACGGGCGCTTACAAGATATTGTCGAGGCTATCCAATTGCGGCTCCTTTCAAATTCAATCGATAAATGAAGCGTAAACGCTTCTATTTTTCTTCGTTCTTTTTATTTCCAGCTAAAAGGCTTTTGGGCGCATTTGTTTGACTGCTTGGAGAGCTCTAGCTGCTTAGCTGCCCAATTGTCTGACCACAGACACACATACTCACTCACACACACACACAAACATGACCACACACTCACACGTAAATGGCAAAGCTGTCCAACTGTGCGGGCGCACGTGGCGTATGTGTGCTTTCTTTGTTGCCCGCAAAAGTGTGCTATAGAAATTATTTAGCAGCATCGAATTACACACTGAAGCCACACTGTGCCCCGCTGTGGACATGATGAGACATTTCGACTGCAATTTGGGGGCGGCATAAACAGGGCGTGGCCAGACAGCATCCCGTGGCTCCACAAAACGATCACGTCTATGCAACCGCACGCTGTTGATTTAGTTTCTGCTGCTGCTCCGGCTGGTCATCAAATTTGCCGCGCTCTAAGCTTTAAAATGAATTCCTAGTGGGTTTTGCGGCATCTTAAGGCGTGGCTGACGTGCCGCCTCCTGGCGCCAGGATGCGCACCAACCGTTGTTGATTACACTTCACGCCCTGCTTAGCTTTGTGCGCTCGCTGCATTGCGAAGGCGTTCAGCGAGGATATGCAGCATGCCTCCTGCCTGATTGTTTGCCCTTTGAAAGCACTGCACAGCATTTGCCAAGGAATTATGTGCGTGTGCCCATTTCGAAGTGGAAAAACGCGCGCTCCAAAACCCTGTTTTGCCTTGCCGACGGGCACGCTATGCAAGGTTAAATCCTGCCAGTAAGCATGTGTGTGTGTGTGGTGTTAGTTTGTGTGTGTGTGTGTTTGTGTGGGAGCATATGCAAGCATGCACATAATCCACTTAGCATGCAGAGAACGCGCGGACGGACATCATTGCATGTGTGATAAGAATTAGGATAAGACGGCAGGCAGTCAGCCTGCATTACAGTTAAAGTCAAGCGACTAAAGCACTCGACTTGTTCTCTGTTTCTTTTAGTTATGTTTTAACTCTTTATAAAGGTAACTATGCAACGGCGTGAGAAGAAAAAAACGTAACTTTGGCATGCAAAACGCTTGCATATCCTTGCAGGAATTATTTGAGCATGGCTTCAGGCTCAGTCGCACATTTGACAGCTCTTTTTTGAATTGATAATGAAGATTTAAAATGCTTTAGACTCACTTAGGTATTGGCAACTAGATATAGGAGACTCTCCTAAAATAATCTTTAAAATTGCTGAGACCATTCTTGAATAAATTCTATACCAGATTCTAATAAATTCAATTTTAAATTTTAATAAGACACTAGCAAAGGATTTGAACCAGCAACTTTACTTTTCAATTAACTAAGTCGTCTGTCGAGGACTGCAGAAATAAATATACGAAAAGAGTTGGATTTCAAAGAAACCTTATTATGATTAGACGAATAAACAATGTTGGCTATTTAACTTGGCCTTAGAAAACAGCTTAAGTCTCCAGCCCATAAAATTTACTAAACCTCTAGCAAATGCTTAACATTTGCTTTAGTCCTGCTATTTATCTCTGACAAAGTTGCGAATTTAACGAACTTAATCCCTGCAAGGTTATGGCAAGCGCCGTAAAAAATCATGTTTAACAACTGCAGAGCGAAAGTTGCAGCGCTTTGGCTGGTTATGCAGTTGTCAATCAATCATTCATTCAATCAATCAATCAATACGCAACAATTTCTACGAGTTTTTTTTGTTTTTGGCAGCTTGCGCAGCAGCAGCAGCGGCAGCGGCAGCGGCAAAAAGAACTGTAAACAATTTGATTAGCTTGTGAAAGAGTAGTTTTTTTGGGGGCACCTGTCACCTTTGGAGTGCGCCGCACCGCCACCAGCGCTGGCCGGAGCAGCACCACCTGGCGCCGGAGCAGCGCCGCCCGCCTCATCCCAATGCTCCGCGCTGCGGGAGCGCGCACTGAGCGCACGCTCCCGTTCCTCGCGCGACAAACGCGCAAACAGACCGCCGCCGCCTGTGCCCCCGGCTGTAGTTCGCGTCCGCGGCGTGCCATAGACGCCCGCATAGTTCTCCAGCGGCGGCGAGTGGCCGCGTCCGTCCGCTGTCGCCGAGTGGGGCGTGCGCGGCTGCAGCTTGATGACCGGCTCGCGTGCCTCAAAAAATGCATCGAAGTTGTTTTGGCGCAGGTTCTCGCTGCTGAAGACCGGATTCTCGACATGCACATGCACATCCTCGCGCAGTCGATTACTCTCGCGCTCACGCGTATCGGACGAGGTGGAACGGCCAAGTCGGCCCAGCGGTATGTGCAGCTTGGGCCGCAAACGGGATTTGCTGGCGGTGGGCGATTTGCTGGGCACACTGCTGCTGGCTGAACATTCCGGCGGCAGATCCATTGGTGACATGGGTCGCCCCCAGCCGGGCCCGAAGTGTGCATGTGTGGGATCTGGCGAGGGTGGCTCCAAAAAAACGCTGGGACTGCGCGAACGTGCCGTGACGAGAGCACTAGACGCGGCTGCTCCATAATCGATCAGGCGTCCCTCCTCATCGAACGCGCTGCCGCTGCGCTGGAATGGTGCGCGTCCAGATGCTGAGTTGCCGCCGCCTTGCATGTTGGCATCATTATTATACATGGACGTGCTCAATGGACGCTGATGTGGCAGCAGCCTGGGCGAAAGCGGCGCCTGCGAGCGATTGCTGCGTACACTGGACCGCTTGCTACCGCCGGAGTTGTGGTTGGAGTGCGTCAAGGAGGCGCGCGATGTGCGTCGTGTGGGCGTGGGTGGCAGGCTCTGCGACTGCGGTACCTGGGCAGCCGTCAAAGGCGGCTCAAAGCTAAAAAAGTTATTGCCGCCGGCCTCGAAGAGTGGCGACTGCGGCTGCTCCTGTGGTGAATTGGACGGCGTGGGCGCCGCTAACGTAGTGGGAATGCGTGACGGGATGGGCTGTGCTCTGGTGACACCTGTGGCTAAGCTCGACGACGGCGACCACTGTGCTGTGCTGTACGAGTCGTTGGGATAGCTGGTGGCGGCGGCGGCGGCGCTTATCAAGTTGACGTTGGCGTTGCCTTTGACGTTGGAGCTGGTTGCGGCTCTCGCTGGATACTCGAGGGGTATGAGCGGCTCGCGCAGGCAGTCGAGTGTGGGTCGCGGTTTCACACGTGGTGCAAGGAGACCATATGTCATTAGGATGAGCTCATCGGCGGGATATATTACGTACATTCCTCAATGTACCCATGTGACATGGTGGCAGCTCTCTATGAATTATTATTCAGAGCGCTCGGGCCAATCCCTAACTAATCAAGGTTATCAAGTTAATAAGCTCTAACTAAATGTGTTAACTATCGATTTAGGTTGCGTGTCTTTTTCTCGAGGATTGGGAAGTTCTATTACAGTTACAGTTCTTGCAGTGTCAACTTGTCTTTTATAATGTTGTTTTTGTTCTGTCTCAAAGTCTCACTAACTGAATTTCAATAAACTAAAAAGAGTTACGTATGGTTAATAATTAAATATATATATATATAAGTATATGGCATAAATATATTAACTACTTGGCGCGTACTTTATTCAACTTGGGTTTATCACAAAGCGAGTTCGAACTTTTTGGGATCGTGTTGTCATTTAGAGCGTTGCATGCTGGCCATAACTGCAAGAGAGAGAAAAGGAGAGAAAAACAAGATTAATTATATGCCAACAGAAATTCTATCTTAGGCATGCCGAATTCAAGATACTCTTGTAGGTTGCCCTCACCACAAGCCATCTGATATAGTAGGATTAGTGTTAGAATATTTAATTAATTTAATATAACTTAAATACAAAATTCTAAATCTGGGTTGCACTCATACAACAAATACTAACGGGTCTGATTTTCTTATTGAACAGTAATAATCCATCTCTATTAAGCGCCATTTGCCACCGGTTATTTGTTTAGCATACATTTGTTAGCTTACACTCATTATAGGACTTTAGCATTAATTAGAGCATGGATTTATCTCGTTTTAATTAAACATTATATGCCAGCTGTAATAAAAGTGAATAGTAACCAACTTTGACCACAAACATTATTAAATTATTTCGAATTTCGCATTGCTTCAATATTGTGCTCATTAAATTTGTTTAGCATTTGAATTGAATTACGAGCGAGAGGTCGGATTACTCTGCTCTATCTCTCTCTCTCTCTCTCTCTCTCTCTCTCTGGCTAGAATTCGGAACAGTCAGCCGGGACAGCGCAGCTGGGCAAACTTTGCGGCAGTTGGCACAACAAAGTTGGGTAACTTTTCCACATGTCTACCAAGGCTAAAAGGCCCACTGCCCGTGGTCGGGATACAGAAACACGCGTGCTTGGCCCAGCTAGTTAAGAGTTTTTGCGGTTCCAGAGGCTCATAATAGAGCATTTAATGGCTCTGAACTTCACACAAAATTAACAAGAATTATGTACTTAGCTCTCTGGCGAAGCTGAAACTCGAATTACGCGCATGAAAGGATTGTAATTATGCTGAGCAGCTATTGGGAAATTGATGAGCCAAATTAAAAGGAAATGCCGAGCTAAATGCAAACAAATTGATTGTAAAACGTGCTAATTAGGCAAGAGGAAGCAGACTGGAGTACGAATAGCAAAGCTGTCAAAATGATATATAATATAGGAAGCTTTTCACATAACGAAAGCTGTTTACGTAATAATTACCAGAGGAACCTATTGTAATTGCCAAAACAAACAGAAGACTTAAAGCAAAGTTATGTTTCTGCAAACTTTGCTTATAATTCGCAAGCAGTTAAGGCGCAAACCTGATTGAAAGGTTAGGCTGAAAGTGACGCAAAAATTTAAATTGATATTAAAACCCATAAATTATACTACAAACAATTTATACAACTGCCTTGGCAACTTAACTCAAACGATTTATGACAAAGACCTGGCTAACCTATTGGGTACATAAACAAACAGAAAAGCAGAAAAACTTAAGTAATATTGTGATTATTTGGCCAATGGCCAGCTGAAATCTACACGGCATTGAAATCGCATTACGCAGCGGCTGTGAGTACGATTAAATTCGTATTGTCATAAGCTGGCAGACCTTGCACGGATCCGAATCTCTACTGAAAAAAACCCCAAGCCCGAAATTGCATCAATAAATAAATAAATCAAATGAATGCGCGTATAAACCATGAAAAAAATGCATATACTATATAAAATTTGAGGGCAGTTCGCGTTAAAAAGAAATCACGCAAATTTAAATGCAAACTGAATTATTTATAAGATGTAAGTTGCAATGCCTGGCTGCGGATCTGTCTGCGTGTGTGTGTGTGTGTGTGCGAGGTGTGTGGCAGGTCAGCGCACACATAAATAAATAGGCCAGCATTGGCTGCAGCTAAACGTGCCAAAAATGGGCTTTGGATATATATTTATATATGGGAAATGGGTGAGGCAATGCGATAGCTGCTGATTATGATGTTGTTGATAATAATGATGATGATGATGTAAGACTGATGATGCACTGCACGTTAGCATACGTATATGCAAATATTTTCTTTCCATTTGCCCAGCAACGCACACACCCCAACACACTTACACACACACACACACACCCGCCCGCGCTGATAATTGAATTGTTTTGCAGCACTTTAGCAGCTCGTTAAATCTGTCAACATTGATCAATCATTCTAGGGAGGGAAAGCAATTCAGCAAAAAAAAAAGAAAAATGGTGAGCTTCACCTTCATCACACGTAAGCCAAGTCAGGCAACAGCTGGCAACTGTGGGTGTCAAATGGGTTGGCTTCGTCCTGGAAAATCTGTGAAGTAGCGCGCACGATATGCCAATATGCCAGATGCGCGATGGTAATGTCATAAAGCAAAGCACAAAGTGAAAGCAATTTTATGAAATGCACAAGCAACAACAGCAATAACAATAATAAACGCCATGGGCTACTTGCTGCCATTTGTTTTGCCATAAAAGTGCAACGGTAAGTATATAAAATTAATTAACTACAAAAACAATGCATCCAATCTGACGCTGTCTGGCAATGGGACTGACAGCGCCACAGCGCGGGGGCAGCCACTGGGGCAGCAACCAGCTGCGGAGGGGGTGGTGTGGCCGGGGCAGGCGCACACTGGCAGCCTTTAGCTACTTTGAAGTACTTGCGCTTATCATTCATGGGAAGCTCAGCATGAAAATGAATACACAACTAGCGGCAAATAGCTATTTCAAAACCGAAACGAAACCTGAATGCACTACAATACTATCTTGATCTAAAATAACACAGAATAACTTTACAATATCCTACTATGAAAATGAAAGAGCTTTAACCAATATAACTTAAGCTTACATAGCCCAGCCTTACATAGCTAACTTAAACTTACTAAGCTTAGCCTAAACCTAACTTGACCTAACCTAACCTAAAACTAAACCGAACCTAATCTAACCTAACATTATTAATCTAATTTAACCTATCTTAACCCTATTAAACTAAAGCTAAATCTTAAGCTAACCTAATCAAACCTAACCCTACTAAATCTAACCCAACCTAAATTAACCTAATTAACCTAAGCCCAAACCTTACCTAACTTAACCTAACCTAAACCTTACCCAAACATATCCCAGCCTTAACCTAACTTAACCTTAACCTTAACCTAAGCCTAAACCTTAACCTAAACCTAAACCTAAACCTTAACCTTAACCTAAACCTTAACCTAAACCTAACCTAACCTCAACCTAACCTAGCGCAATGCTTACCTAAGTCATATTTCGAAACAAAATGAACTAATTTTTAGTCCGGTTTGGGTTGTGCTTTAATTTATAAAATGAAAGCAGAAGTTCTTAAAAGTTGTTCATATACTTTTATTTGGAGCTTCGTCGGAACGTGTCCTGGAGAAATTTGATACAGCTTCCAGTTTGTCTGTTTTCTACACTCGAATACAATAAAAAAAGTTGATAGGAAAACTTTTAATGAATTTTATTTCATTTAATAAAAACATTATACCTGAACCTCGTGCCGGCTAACTGATACTTATTGATTCTATAAATAATAAAATACAAATCAAATGGTAGCTAAAGTGTTTCAGTTTATTTTATATTTCCTGGAATATGCATAAAATGATTACTCAGCTCGAAAGATTTATTCGCCTATGAAAAATCCAACCCAAACGCAACTGTCGAGCAATGCGTATGATTCAATTTATATCAAACTGAATGAGTTTTCCTAAAAAATCTCAGCCTCACTCCATTCATGTAGAATAGCAAAAGAATATTACTCTACTCTTTCGAATCGTTCTGGGCTGCATTTAATCAATTTAGATCTTTATTGAAATACCTTTGCCCCATACCATGCATGCAGAATGCCAAATGATTATCATTCGCAACATTCGCAACATTCAAGGATGTATTCAATGAATTCAGATTTGTATTTGCGTTATTCTTTTCATGCAGAATGGCAAATGAATATCATTCGACTCATTCGCAACATTCTAGGCAGTATTCAATCAATTCAGAATTGTATTCGAATACCTTTGCCTCATTCCATTCATTCTGAATGATTCATTAAATTATTGATGCCCAGCTTAGACGAAAATAGGGCATTCTTCGAATAGACAGCATTCATAAGTAAACTGACAGACAGTTGGACATGTGTAATACACTTGGGTTGTATGTTGTATATTAAATGACAAAGCCAATATACCCGACGGCATTTGCGGGGCATATCATAATCAGGAAACACGACGGCAACGAGCAGCAAACAAAATGTTATAAATAAATAAACAAGCAGCGCCGTTGGGTTCTACAGCTGCTGCCGCTTCTGTTGTCGCCGCTGTTGCCATTGCTGTTGCTTTTGCTGTTGCTTCAGCTGCTTGCTACATGCTGCCCGTATCATGCTCAATGCCCAACGCCACCCCCAGCCCGCACCCCGCCCTACACCCACAGCGCCCTGCACCCTGCCCGAGCTGTTGCTCAATGCAATTTTGGCAGCCTTTGCATTGGCAGCCAAGCGACTCGTCGACCTGGGCAGCGAGGAAGCAAACTTGACTCAAGTGCATTGTCAAGGTACGAGGGGCACACTGTGAAGACCCGCACACACACAGACAGCGAGATACACTTGCAAGAGATACATATACATACATAATTACATGGCAGTGCGCCCATATAGCTTGAGCTGAAGCTGTTGCAAAATGTTTCTGCCATGTGTGTGTTATATATATTTATTTTTATTTCAATGAACTTGTGCACATAAATTAACCAAATTTTAGTTCTTGCATTGCTATAAAACAAAATTCCTGAAATGCCTTGCATTACACCAGTAGCTAGCAGCTACTTCACAGATACAAAAGTATCTCAGGCTAATCAATTGCATAAGCCTGCCTTCAAGCACACAACTCTTAGCGCGCAAATCCCATAAACCAAATAGATGTTGCTCTTCTTTTTTTCTGTTCTGCTTGCAATTTATATGCCTAATACCTTATAATTCCCTTATTGAAATGCGTTCGCTTCGGGTAGCTCGGGCGAGGCACAGCACGAACACAAAAGTCGCAATCGCAATGAATAATGACAGGTAGTATATATATCAGAAAGGGGGTGGGTGGGGCTCTGTCGGTGTCAACCCTCACAAAACGTGCTGTCGAAAAAAGCAAACTCAATTTATGAAAACATTCATGCAGCCAAACACACACACACAGACGCACATCCGACCCCCACACACACACACAAATTGCGTATGCGCCGCGTGAGCCCGTTTTGAATCTACGTAGACTTTTGCACCTCCCCACAACCCATAAGAATCCCCCCTGCTCAACACACACACACACACACACACAGAAAGCCTATTACCGTCGCACGTTTTGCTATCATATATTGTACATAAATAAGTGAATAAGTCGTGAGTATTTTTACACGGAAATGGGTCCACTTTTCTTCAGTCAGACAATGCCAAAGCGCATTTAACTAATTAGACAGGCCATTCATAAGGTAAACAAACTGATTGATTGGCCCATTTGATAAGCTGTCATAAATGCCAAATGGCCAGAAAAAAACGGTTATTATTGTGTTGTCAAAAGACATTTTGCGTACCCAGAAATTCTATAAATATTTTATTGATCAAAATGAACTCAGTACCAAGTCAATTTTATTGTCCAGGCAAATAATTCGTAAGCGTATTTAAAGCTTTGTTGATGCAAATTGCAAACAGCTTCTTACTGCAGACTCGTAATAGGCTTTGTTTTGTAAGAATTGACTTGCTATATCTCAGAGCAGACGTAGTTATATTCGATAAAAAGAATCTACTTATTGTACAACAAATTTATTTGTCCCAAAGCTAACTTGACTAAACTCTTTATCAAAAGCCGAGTTGCTATAGCCCTGTTCGTCTATCTGTCAGAAACGATCGGTCGAAAATAAAGTTCTCGTAACAAAAACTAAGCTTAACGCGGCATTTATAAGTTTTACTAGAAACCTATCAATATCGGAGCACTATATGACATGGGAACATTTGTTCAAAAAGTAGTTTTTTATAGAAAGAACTTTTTAGCTTAACAATATCTATTGACCAAGCTTGGCATTTGCTCCCTATATCGGAGCATTATATCATATAACTGCCATAGGAACAATCGGTCGAAAATCTAATGTTTTTAAACACAGCATTTACTCGCTTCACGAGTCTCACATATCTGTTAAGCCCTAAGGAAAATATTTACAAGGATATCATTTCCTTCTTTGAAATAAAAACTTTTGTTGTTATTTTTAATATTCTGAATAACTTTCCCTTTCTTGTTTGGCTTACAAAATGTTGACAAGATATATATATGTAAACCTCTTTTTTAAAGCTTACATATAAAAAAGTTCATAATTTAAATGTTGCAAGCAAAAAATATGCCAAAAATATGTTAACACTCTGGTTAAGCTCAGTTTACCTCCAGCTACAGCTCATATGTCTTAAAGGATAATAAATATTAGCGCTTGTCTTACATATACGTCTAGGTGGTACTCACCTTTTAGAGCAGCTGCAATTGTATTAAGTGAAATCCTTTGCTTGAATTTATGGCTGACATTTTAAGTTTGAAACGGATTTAGCACAAATTATTGCTTATGATTTATGACACGTATTTCTTGCGTATTGTTTGCACCAAAAATCAATTTGCTTTCGTTTGCTCTGGTTTTTTTTTTTTCTTTTGTGTTTTTGTTAGTTTATTTATTTGTTGTTACTTGGTTGTTGATGTTTCGCGTTTCTCGTAGCTCGTTTAAGTCGATTTAACAAACTCAAGAGGCGTCCAGTTGCCGCTTTCCACTTTTTACGCGCGTCTAGCGCCAGATATCGCATTAAATATATATATCTCAATATATATATATTTCACACCACAGAGACGGCACACCACAATACACATACACACACACACGCGCACACACTCGCGCGCGCGAGCACGCACACTCACGGCACACACAGCCAAGAACAGACGCTCACAGCAGCGCGAGGCATTCAACGACGCCGATCGACGATGAATTTAGACTGAGGCTCAGCAGCTTGTAAGCATTTCAGTTGCTATTTTGACAATATTTGTTTTTGTTCCGCTTTTCTTTCTTTTTGCTGTGCTTTCGTGCGATTCTCATGGCTCTTCGTGTGTTTACTCTGCGCATATTGTTATTATATATATATGTATATATATTTATTTAATGGTATATATATACGCTATATAGCTGATCTTATCAGTTCGATTTTACTTGCCACATTTTTTGCCCAGCACACACTCAGAGAGAGAGAGGGAGAGATGTGTCTACGATGTGTTTATTGGCCTGGCCAATATACGCGGCGTATACGTGATGTACAATTTGCTGCTAAGCTGTTTGATTTGATGACGTCGCCGCAGAGCGTCGAGCGGCCATCCAGGCAATGACGTCACCGTTTGTCACAGCTGTCACGCGCACAGTGCACACTATTTATAGGTGACACGGCCGACGTCGACGCCGCAGCCGCAGCAGCGGCTGTTGCTGCTGCTGCTGCTAATTTTCGCAAGTGTTTTTCTTTGCGCTTTTCTTGGATCTGCCGCGTCTGAAAATAGAAGGCAAAGCAAAAAGAAAAATTGTGTGTGAAACTCATTGAAATGTTTGCGCGTACTCAATTTTAATATACGCAAATAAAACTGGCAACAGTTGCTGCCACAGCAGTCCGAGCTGTGGGAGGCATCACTGCAAGCTGATTACTCATACGCCCCGCTGGCGCGTCAGAAACAACACAAATTAAATTGCATTAAATTTATAAATGGCATCACGCGCTCATCCAACGCCAGATGCGTAAGTGTCAACGCACAAGCAACAACAACACACACACACACACACACACGCACACAGGTGAATGCATCTCCGTGTGAAGGCTTCGCTAGCCCAATTTCTAATTATTATTTATGAGGCCTGTCAGCAGGGATATGGAGACCACGCAAATTCCCAGCATGATACAACGCTGCCAAAGCTAACAAATTGGCCCAATTGGTGGAGGAGAATTCACTACGGCCAAGATTGGCCCCTGGAAAGCACGTTTCATGCTAAAATCAAATCGTGCTTTTTACATGGTAGCTGATGGGATGAAAATTTCCGAAGAAAACCAAAATTGCAAGGAAACTGCAAAATACGCTCTACTATATCGATTTTCAAAATTTACATTTATGAAATTTGCAATTAACATATTCGTAACATATAAGCCTTGATAACATCGCTAATGTGTTTAACTTACTAACAACTAACAGAAGATAAGCATAACACATTAATGCTACAATATGTAATGTTATTGTGTAACATTATCTAACAGCTGCTTTACATAATAAACAAATGTTACAAAGAAACATTTTCTATGATACAAATGCCATTGAGCAAATGTGCTATAATACAAATGTTAGGAAATATCGCACACTATAAAATGTTACTGAATGATGTGCTTAAAGAATGTATGTTATGTTATGCTTCTCATTCACATAACAGTAGCATCGACATTTATGCTACACATTGACTAACAGTTACGTAACATAAGTATGTTAATAACAGTGCCCTGTAGTTGTATTCGTTGATTTTCTTTTGGCACACGCATTTATACATAGCTAAAAGCACATATTTGATTCATCTACTAACATACAATGTTAACATTTTTAACACTATTATTACCTAACAGCTACTTAACAAATGAAAGTAACAGAACGCTGCAACTTATTTATTTATTTTTAGCCCCAGACGTTGTCAAGCTTTGGTTTGAGTGGACTTCCCCTCGTCAACACAGCTATTAATGAGGGGCTTTCTCGTCAGGCCCTTGCTACCCGCCCATTGACATTTTTGCACTGCCAACGATGACTGTCAAGTTGTGAGCAAGCAAATTTCAATTATGACTTTGCAAATTTTGTAGCAACAGTAAAATGCAAACTTTGGTAATTGGTTGCGCTGCAACCTGCCAGGTAAAAGACTTCGTAGACATAGCGAAAGTACACAAAATGTGCCACACAATATCAATAATTTTATTACGCACAGGCCTTTGATGTTCAGCTGACTTTAATGACATCAAATTAAACTAATGTGTTAACGACATCAGCACGTCAGAGCTATATGTACGGACCGGGCCTGGGCTGATTGGGATTGAATGGCGATGGTCGGGTGTCAAACGGTATGCGACCCTCATGATGTCGCGCCTCGGTTAGCGACAGGTTCAGGCTCAGCACCAGCACCAGCAGCAGCAGGGGCAGCAGCAGCAGACCACGCAGATTAAGTTGCATCTTGTCTTAAAGTCAGTTGTTAGTTGATTGATGCCACAGCGCCCAAGTGGCAGGGTTTTTATACGCAAAGCGGAGGCAACCGGGGGGATTTTTTGCTGTTTTTGTTCGCCAGATAAGCTTTAAATGCCAGACGGGGTCAACTCAGCTGGGCTGATAACTATTCAATGCGGGGATGCACAGCCGAGCACAAAAACTGAGAAAACGAAATATGAAATGTGCTGGCTGAATATTTAGGTTGCGCCAAGGTCGCAGCCAAGTGCCCAGGTTTCGCCCCGAATCAAACGACGTTGACTGCCTGCCTAGTCAGCAGCCACTTTACGTTGTTTTTGCATTGCAAATTACTAGCAACAACGACGCCATTCAAAGGCAACGGCAACATGCGTCAACACAATGCCACGCCCACTGCAACAAGCAGTTGCCCTCGTGTCTAGCTAAGGCGAGCTGCTGCTGCTGCAGCTGCCACTGCCAGAGCCCCCTTTGGCTCTATTAGAGCACTTTGTTAGTTTTCCTCTGGCAAAGGCCGTGTTACAGCAGGCAGCCTCATCTTTGGCGCCCTTTCGAATGCGCCAACTGACATTTTCAGCAAATTTTCCCATGCACTTTACCATTTGTGCGGTTACTTCAGTTTTATGCATACCCTGCTTGTACAGGGTATATCAATTATGGGATGGCAAGTGTAATGCATAAAAGAAGATATATGGCTTATATGGGAGATGTATGACTTATATGTAAGCATATGTATTATTTGTAAAAAATTGGTTTTGTTGAAAGGATCGAGCTACTATATCTTATAAGTAGCTGCCTTGGGATCGAAAACTTAGCCTTGGGAACGATAGATACAAGATTAGGCTCTTCTTTTTTGCTCAAGATAAATTGTTTAAGCTTGCGTTTAACGAGTTTTAGCATGCGCCTAATATAATAACAAAATCTTATCAACAGTCGAATACAATATCATTTATCATAAGGCTCTACATTAAAAACCTGCCAAGATATAGATTCTTTTAGAACCTTTTTTGTTTCTTACGAATTCTTGACCAAACGCAGCAATTAAAAGCTTCGCTGTGCTGCGAATCTCTCGCACATTAAATCAGTCTGCCATATTATATGGCGCACATTAAAACAATTAGGCGCAAATAACGTTTTCGCATAAAAGAATTTCTACGCCGCATAATAGTGTATTTAATTTTCGGATTGCCAAACATTTCTTTAGAGTTTTTTTTTTTTTTTTTTTTTTTTTGATTTTCTGACCGCATGGCTCATTAGGTTAAGCAAATGTTTGCTGTGTACGCAAAGAAAATCAATAAAAAGTCAAACCGAAATGAAATTTATGTGCAAATCAATTTATATACAAAGCATATTGTCTATATAGACGCGCACAACATAAATCGAATGGGCCATAGCCACAAGATCAACCGCAGCGGGAAAAAACAATAAAATTGTGAACAAAATGAAAGCGAAAATTTGTACAACAATAACAACAACTTTTATGCATCTAAACAAATGCTCAATTGTTTACTTAACAATCGATGGATGTTGCCTTTTGTGTGTATTATTGCCCCCTCTCTCTGTGTGTGTGTGTGTTGGCCACCGCTTCCTATAGCCATAAATCAAAAAGAATGTGCTAGCCATTTGTAGATTAATCGATTTTCATGGCTAAAGCATAAAAAAATATACATTCGTCTAATGTTTAGACACGGCTGCGAAGATAAACAATTTCTGCAAATTATAAACAGACATCAGATCGATTCGTCAATATCCCTGCCTCAGGTCTAGGCATTACATAACTAGTCGGCCAAGTCGAAAGGGGGTTAAAGCGAGCGGACTGCATAAAACTTTAAATTCCTTGACATTTTCTTCTTGCCCTGGCAGTTTCTTCACTTTGGTGCTGCGGCTGACATTTTGAATTATTTGCTGCAAATCGCGCGTCGCCGAGTGAATTTCTTTTGCGCCAGGGGCTAACGACCCGTAGAAAACCCTACTCTCTACAACCGCCCCCCCCCCCCCTCCCCGCTTCGCCAGACTCTCCCGGCCGACCCCCTGGCATGCCTGCACAGTTAAATTTCATAGCCGAAAATCACAGCAGTGAAAAGTTGAATTTAACGATAAGGAGCAGAAAAACGACAGGCATTCCATTTGATGGCAAAAAATTATTGGAATTTTGATGCGGTTCGCATTCAATAAACACTGCATATATCTATAAAGCACAATTTGTATACGCTATATAAATATACTACACAAGTCATTAGTATTGATAATGAATCCATTCGCGTCTGTTGCGCAAACGATTTCAATTCTGGCACATTATTTATGCCCCGATTTTGCGCATTTCCAAATTAATTTGGTAGAACATTTGTAATTACGCCTTATATATATATAAATAAATATATATATATATATATATATATATTAATATTAATATTAATTTTCATAAGCATGATTATAATTGCATTGCTAGTTCGCTTTTTTTTTAAATAAAATTCTATTTGACACTTTCCTGTTTTCTCTCAAAAAATTAATATATATAGTTTTCTTTATTTGAAATTGAGTTATTTATATTTTAAACAAGTAAGAGGTGCTAGTCGGCAGCTCCCGACTAGGGGATACCCTAAACCCTCTTCTTCCAACATCAAATGCATATATATATTCTATTTTAGAAGTTATATGTCAAGTTTGGTGACTCTAGCTCTTATTATTTACCAAAACTGCCCAAAAAACAGGGTATCTATATCGATATTTATCGATTGCTTGGAAACGGAGTAAGTTATCGATTATCGGAAACAAACTCGATCTGCGCGGGAACTAGGAGCATCTACATCTAAAATTTCAGTCTCTAGCTCTTATAGGTTCTGAGATCCTTGCGTTCATACATACGGACGGACGAACGGACGGACAGACAGACGGACATGGCTAGATCGACTCGGCTATTGATGCTGATCAAAAATATATATACTTTATGGGGTCGGAGATGGATTTTTGGATTTTGCACAAATACAATATACCCTTATACCCACTTTTAATGGGTTCAGGGTATAAAAAAGGTCTCTCATATCTAAATTTGGTATAAATTAATATTGAGGGTATTAATCAATAAATGTTGAATAGTTTTCTGTTCTTCAAAAAATTAGATATTCATTTCCTAAATTAAAAATATGTGCTTGATTAATTTTAATACATTTTTACACAAAGTTCAGTAAAAGATATATGCATTTATTTATCAAAGTGGGAATGCCCATACTTTTAATCAATTAAAAATTCCTACTTTAACTCAACAACGAGATTATAACCGACAAAATCACAAATGCTAACTAATTTACTTCGATCCAATTAATTCGAATAAATCTCTTATGCATTAGATAAACACATCAATTCATCAACTCATGCATGCGAAATTGTTTTTGACAGATGAGCCTTGAACCACTTGAGCTCAATTAGATTGATATGTGGCATTGTGTTATTTAAGCATTGAAACTTTAACGATATTTGACTAAAAATCAAATTATGAGTGAAAGTTGCACGCGCCACTCATGCATATGCCACAAGGCACCCAAACTCTCAGGTGGCATAAAACTAATTTGCAAGTTTGAAGTTTGAGCGCAAGTCGCAGAGCTACGAATGGAATACTTGTATAGCATCTATATAGTATATATAGAACTGGCTGGAGCAATAAAAATGCCAGCATAAGTGAATAAATACAAAGGCCTAAACTGTTGGCAGGCATAAATATGCATCTCTTTCCGAGAGATGCGTTCATAAATAAACGCTGCGAACTGGAGAAGTACTAGATGAAAGCTCGGCTGTTGGGCACCTTTGGGCCCCATCCATTTGCTGCCTGAAAGGCAACACCTACCAAGTTCATTAGGTATGTATGCGAGGAGTCTAGTCGTGCTGCGGTGAAGGCGGACTTATGTGGGGGGAGGAGTGCTGTGTTGCCTTTAATGCCTGCGTTCCCTTCCCCCACATTTATGGCTGCCATAAATGTGCCAGCTCATTTTGTTCGTCATGGCAAGGGGCGGAGGTGTGGCAGATTGTTGCCTGCCTCTAATGTTATTCAGACAAGATGAAGCACTTAAGAATGCGTTGTGCGATGTCAGCTGTGGGGTCGTTGGGCAGGACGTACTCAGCTGTATGTAAGTATATGTATATCTAATATCAGATGGTTGTCTCCGTCGCCCCTGGACAGACAGGTGATAATGAACACACTTAGAGGCAGGCAGCAGGCAGCAGCAGCAGTACATGGAAGCCGGAGACCTGCACACATGTTGCCATTTAAGCAGTTAATGGCGTGTTTAAAGCTAATTGCCATTGCCAACTGCCAAATGTTAGGGGCCCCCGAAGCAGCCACAAAAGCCTCGGCTACTTGTTTATTAACTTTGCAATTTATTTTATGAACTTTTTGTGTCGCCTCCGGTAACCGCAACAAACGCTGCCCCCACAATGCAAAGCCAAACCCTAAATAATGCAGCACACATTGTGCGTTATTTTTGTTGCTTCAGTTTTCTTTTTATGCCCTGAACCCATTCAAAATGGCTAAAAAGGGGTATCATGGTTTTGTGCGAATGTATGTAACAGGGAGAAGAAGGTATATAATTTCTTAATAGTCGAGTCGATCTAACCAAGTCCGTCTGGCTGTCCGTCTATCAGTCTGTCTGTCTGTCGTCCATTTGGTACTGGTAAGGAAAAGGGTATCCCCTAGTCAGGCACTCCCGACTAGAGCACTCTTACTCGTTGTTTTTTTTTTGTTGACACAAAAAAATTCTCAGCCACATATGTGTTTTCTGAATATCTGTGGCGTTCATTTACTTAAAGAGACGTTTTCTGTTAAATTTTTATTTCGAACTGATCTTCTGATATAAAGAAAAACCATTTAAAATTTATAAAATGTTCACTCATGTTCCCAAGCCAATAGCTTTGTTAATTGTAATTGTGTTTTGTTTGTAACAATTCCTTTTGTTGTATTGCGCCTTTTCACAAACTATATTTAAACATGAATCAATATTCAATTTAATTAAC